CGAATAGTTTTTCACATTTACTTTTGATGTTTATATACAGCATACATGTTATATATCACTTTATATGAGAAGTCTATCATGTGTTTGAAGGACCATATAGTATTGTAAAATTCGAGTGGATACTATATACAATATAATGTATATAATGTCCACTCGATTTTTATCTTCAAATTCCTTCAAATATTACATCAATTGAGTGAGGTATGCCCAAAATTTATATTTACTCACATACACAGAGAGCTAAATTTATAGACAAGCTGTCAGGTCAAAAATAGAAGAGATCTTGTATAGGAGTATTCTTCTCTGAAGTTTTGAAATAAACAGGAGTGTAGAAATACACAAACTAAAACAGCAGGCTAAATTTTAACCAGGGTTAGCGCCAGTCCAGCGTTGAACAACCGGCTCCTGGGGCAGAGTAATTACACTTACTATAACCTACACTTATTTAAAATTTCCTAATATTATATTTATATACATGGCAAGAAATAAATAATGAGTGTACCTAAAAGTCATTAATTGTTAATGTCAAGTCTCACTCAGCTGGTTTGCTTTTAGTTCAAGACCCACAGCATTTGTCCTGTACCATGTACTACATAGCAGCTGTCTTTCCATAGACTGTATCATCCAGAACAAAAGCTGAAAAAATAGGAATTGATAAAATCAGATTTATTTAATATGTTTTAGATTTAATTGGCATCGAGACATCAAGAATAATCTACATAGTGTTAGGCCAAATAGGGGATGCCCTTAGGGTAGCCACATCTAATGGGTTACCAGGTACAGTATATATTGGCTTAACTAACGATCTACAAGGTTACATTTGATTTGATACATTTTTGTAAAGTATATTACAGGAGTCATTAGGGCTTAGTAATGAGTTAGGCCAAAGAAATCATCGACCGTAATCTTTTTATCTGAAGTTTGCAAAGAGTTCGGAACAATTTTTCATACCCAGTTTGTGGCGTTAGTTTTGCACTAGCTATATAATACTTTTGTTTGTGGAAACACCATGTAACTACATATGGTGTTTCCACAAACAAAAGTATTATATGTTTTATCACCATGGAAACCTACGAAGAAAGTATAACCTGTTTGTTTCAAAATCAAAGTTGATGTAATATTTAATGAATGTTTGTGTCATCTGTGCTGCGTTATTGATGTAGAATATCATTCTCATGCATGAACATTTATAATAAAAAATTTACAAGAAAAAAAAACCCTACCCTGCCTAAATTTTTTGCATACGAGAAATAGAAACCCAGGCATTTCTTTTTTTGGACTTGGTATGAAGCATGGAAAGATAGGTAAAATTGTCAGAGCACATTAGGACAAATTGCAGGTCAATGGGTCCAGCCACAGCCCTCCCCCGTATTATTGCAGGCATATGGACAGCTCTACATATACCATACTGTAATGACTCATTCACGACAGAAAATTGGCTATTGCACACTGACCCTTTATACTTCTGGCATAATTTAGATTATTAAAGCACTAAACTACTAAAGCCCTACACACTATGCTCAATTTTTGGTATGGCACAGATAAAACTGGTACCTGTACCAAATTAATCTGTGCTCGGCCAGTATGAATAGGTAGTCCAAGCATGGTAAACATGTTACGGGAACCAAAATTGAGCACAGTGTCAGTGTTAACAGGCCTTAAAATGGCTGCATTTGGAGGTAAACTTAGGATTCATGTGTAATTATGTTGTTACTATAGTTACTAAATTTTTGTAGGGGCTGTTTATAAGATCAGTTGAGACTGATTCGTCTGGCCTAGGTGGCCACCTTAGCTGGGCCAATTTGTGATTTTTTTCATAGAAAGCACTAAAAGCTGACTATTTATTCTTGTTAATTCTTACCTTACAATACCAGTTTGTCAACTCAATCCAGATCTGTTTGTTGAGACTCGAGAACAATATTTGGAGCACACCGGGCTATAATCCAGTTCCAATATTAGGGGCTGATTACATGAACCGGGCCAGCTCGGTTAACCGGGCTGAGAAATGTCACGAAAATCTTCCTTGGGCCGGAAAATGAGTTTTGAGTCAGGTTTAGGACGATTTTGCATCTATACTAAACCAATTATTTATCGCAAATTTATTTTACGCACGTTTTAAAACCACAGTAAGGCCCTAAACAAACAAGTCAGCCCGGTTAACCGGGCCAGCCCGGCACCATATAATCAGCCCCTAAATCTGAAAATATATAAAGAGAACATGAATTTGAGGCATTGTCTCAGCGCTCATACATCTTCCAGCTTTTACAAACAATTTATTTTATACAATACAACTGAAGCTCATTAATAAAGAGCTTGCAAGACTCTCCCCTTGACAAGTAAAATTGTCTTAAAAGCAACACAGTTGCAGGTCAAATGGGTTAAGGATCAATACACTGATATATCACATTCAATGCTGTAATTCTTCTGTAATTACAATTCATGTATTAAAATGCTAACATATCTTTAACAGCATTCAAATGTTTAATATATTATTTCATATTGTTAAAAGCACATGCAAGTATGTTTAATATATTATTTCGTATCGTTTTATTATTAAGTTATACACCCTTGACAAAGGTCTAGAAAAGTGCCAAATTATTATGTGCCAAAGACAATTATTGCTAAATTTCTTGATATTAATAGTGCATTGTGTACAATTTACTACAGAATTTACTATAATAGATTCGAATTGATATTTTATTCTTTCTTTCCTTGCCAGAAACCAACAGTTTGTATGTTTTGATGTAAATTGACACCGCAAATTCAAAATTATATTTAACAGAATTTCAGACACATGGCTCAAGTAACAATCATATTTTCACTACATTCCTTTGCAATTAAAATGCTTAAATAACAAGTCAAAATATAACTATTTTTACCTGTGAGATCTGAATAACATTTTACGAACTTTTCCATGCCTTTTCCATCGTTTGGGTTTGAAATTTCGAAAGACATGTAAATTTTTAGAACAAAAATTCGAAACGACGCTATCCCATGACATTTTATGATCCGACACTTAAACTGGGCTCCAGGCAATGCGCAAACTATTGCTTCAGTACGTCACGTATTAAATATAGTTTCTCTACAAATATAAGGAATATTTTCAAGTATTTATTGGTATATTGTTACGATTAATACAGGTTCTTTCGATAATATAAAGCGTGGAATAACAACAACATGGCGTCCATGAAAAAGGGCGCGAAAACAGTCAATACTTCATGTTATCAATGTATAATGTTTGTCTACTTATTTACGACATCCTCCGGGGGCACGCGAAGTTCTCGGGTCCATCTCCTGATTTGTTCAACTGCTTTACACGCGGCTGTTCGTTTCGGTCGTGGAGTAATTTCGGTTGCTGCATTTTCTTGTTGGACACAATCCTTGTCTACAAGGCCTGGTTCTTCTGTGGGGCAGTATTTCCAATTTTCGATAGATGTAAGAGTTTTGATTTCTGCAATCCGGCTGGCAACGTAAGGTTTAAGTTGTTTGGTACTGTGAAGCCAATGGAGGACGATTTGGCTATCACTCCACAAGAAAACGTTCGTAACTTGTAGTACTTTTGCCAAGTACGAGCATAACCGTGCTCCTATCGAAGCTGCCGTTAGTTCTAATTGGGGTAACGTCAACTTTTTCAATGGCGCAACTCTCGACTTTGCCATTACAAAGGAGGAATGATTGGCTTTGGAAGATTTAACATATGCTGCGGCACCGTAAGTTTTCAAGCTCGCATCTACGAATATGTGTAACTCTGTATCCTCGGGCAACCCATTTGTTGATGGAAAGTATTGACGAGGTAATTGTACATGGGTGCTTGCTTGTAATTCTTTAGTCAGTTTCTCCCAACTCGCTTGTATTTCCGGTGGTAAGAGTTCATCCCATTGCAACCCTCTCATCCATATCTCTTGCATCAGAATTTTCGCATTAACGACTACAGGGTTAAGGAACCCAATGGGGTCATATATCTTTGATGAAGTACGTAATACTTCACGTTTCGTTGGGGGATTGGATTCGGATGTGGTCACTCTGTTGGGGTAGAGGAGGGTGTCGTTGATAGTATCCCACTGCATGCCAAGAACTTTAGGTTTCAGATTGTCATTTAAGAGGTTTTCTTTCGCTGCGATCGTCTTGACAACAGGGTTGTTCGATGCCCAAGATCTCAAGTTAAATCCACCAGGTGTCATCAGTGTTCGTGCTTTGGTATAAAATGAAACTGCTTCGTCATCATCTTGGGCTCCGGACACAAGGTCGTCAACATAAATATCTTCACGAATACGTTTCGCTACTGGATCATTGAATTGTTTTAAGTGTTTATCAAGGGTGGCATTTAGAATAAATGGTGAACTCGTCGCCCCAAATAACACGTTTAAATCGGTAAACATCAAAGGCACTAGTTGGATCGCTCGGGTCGTTCAACCAGAAGAAGCGGGTAGCATCGCGATCTTCTTCATCCAGGACAATATTTAAAAATGCCTTTTCGATATCTGCTGTTAATCCGTACTTCGGCTGACGGAATCTGAGCAATATTGCTGTTAAATCGTTGAGGATTGGGGGTCCAGTTGTTAAACAATCGTTTAAACTTGCGTGATCTGAAGATTTACGGCAACTACAGTCATAAACGACTCGTAGTGGTG